ACTCTAAAGAGAAAGATTTCCAAAAGTGATAAAAGCTAAGACCCATTGGCAAGACAGAAAGCTGAAATTCCCCAAACTAAGGGAAGCCTCCCCATCTTTCCCACGTGATCTCCTTTCTTTTTTCTTTCTCCTAAGGCTAAAGAGCAATACTATCCAGCTCTTTAAAAGGCTTGAGAAGTGCCAGAAGGAAATCAAACTGCCCATGCAGCTTCTGGGATGGATTAACTTATTGTATTGCAGCAGTGCAGCAGTTCTGGAGAGGAGCAAAAGAAGGTACCACACAAAATATCCAGGAAAGTGCTTTACTATGCTCAGTGCCCTTAGAAGCTAAGAACAAGACTAAATAAGTAAAATTGGAAGGGCCACTCTACACTTATTTGTACTCCCTGTACTGCATGCTGCTTTATAAATACTCTTTCTCACTAGATACTTTGTTTTCCCTAGCTAGACTAGAAGTTCCTGGAGATCATCAACCATGTATATTTCTTTTGTAGCCCCCAAATTGCCCACCACACTGAGTACAGAGTGTATGCTCAATAAATACCACTGACCGACTGATTACTAAGTATTTACTTATTTTTCCCCTCACTATTTTTCAGGAATGTTTACTAGTCACAAAACCATGAAGTCCTGGAAGCCAAGAGGAAGTATCCATCTGTTGGTATACATTTTCCCTTGGCTATGCATTATACAGAAGTTTCCTTCGGAAATGTAAACAAAGGATGCCTGATGAGTCTGGACAAAGGACAACTATATATAGAAATCAAGTGGCCAGAGTAGCAAGGTCAAAGCATGCCCTTCCTTAACCAGATTAAAGGGAGTCTTGGGGCTGCCTCTACCTCCTTCTTATGCACTCCAGTCTTGACAGAAAATATTTTCCACCTGCCTATCTACTGAATTCTGAAACCTGGGCAGCAACTACAATTACTATTAACAAGTTACATTACACCATAGAATTCAGCTACCAAATCTGTGGTGATCTTAATCTCTGTTTCTGTAATAATAGGAAGACTGCAGCTTTGTTTACTTTCTGAGGAGAATAGAGAACAGGGAGAAAGGACCAGGATAGGGAGGCAGTATTTATGACCCCTTTATGAAAAGTCAATCTGTGACAAAAACATTTGCAGACAATAAGGAAGGGGAACAGGTTTGGCAGGAAAATAGCCTATTCCAGTTTTCTCAGAAGTGCCTTAGCTGGCTTCCTCCACCCCCGCCCAATGCCTGGTTTACACTATGAACATAGTCATGCCCTATACACAAATCTGGGTTAGATAAAATGGAAAAATTCCAAATCACCCTTCAGTGTCTGGTTCTCATGACTGACAGTATCCTACTATTTATTCATTTTATAAAGTATTCATAAGCATTTATGAAGTCTCAAGTCCTTTTATTAACTACATTTCTAATCCTGAGGCTTGACCTGAAGGCTTTTGGACACATAGGCTCTGTGTTGAATGAGTATAATAAGTAGCCTGGATTCACCCTGTTATTAAGAGGAAGTTGAGGGCACATCCCTAACCTTTCAGAACGGATGATGTCATAGAGGACAGCCATGGTCTTCCATAAACCATCCTGTAGGGTTCCTGTCAAAGACGGAATCCTAAATAGACTGTGGAATTAAATCCCAAAATACACTCTCACACTCAACAGTATCTCATTATTCTTTCCCAGTTCTCAGTTAATGTTTTTATTCCATTGTCTGTATTTCTGTACATGTATATCTACATCAGGGTGAATTTGGGGGTAGATATTTTGTCTATGCTGTTTTCTTTGCACCTGGTACGATGCCAGGCATAAAGAGGTATCATTTAAAGTTGACCTTTTGTGTAACTAGACCAGACAGTGGCCTACATGCACCCCGGAGGGTGCTTCTTAAATATCTACTTTGCAGATTCGTCATGGGGCTACTCTTCCCTCCTAACTTTACTTACATGTGGCAGCACTAGTGTCACCTCCTTAAGACTCAGGCAGGAACACTAAGCTTCAAAAAGCCACTGTAAAAACATCGCCTGTTTCTTAAAAGGCCAGAGTGAGTCCTCCCTTACTAACACAATGATGGATCATTTTATGAGACTAGCTCCTTGCCACATGTAAAGAGTAGGGCCTTGAATATAAAGGCTTGATTGGCAGGATGGGCTGGGAAAGGCTGGAACAGGGGCTATGTTTGGATGAGGCTGGTCAGGGTGATTAGCTCCTCAGGACTGGGGAAATGAGACATTTGAGATGTCCTACAGTGAATGAGCGATGAAAATAAACTGCTTACTTTGCTATTTTGACTACATCTTGCCACTTTGTACTTAATAATCATTTTGATGAGAATGAAGAAGGTGATTATAATTCCTGACCACATTTTATTCACTATTAGCTGTAACTTCACCTTTGGTCATGCAAATTCTAAACCAAGGGATCCCTTATCTTGTCTCCTGCTTACAAATACTCCCTTGTCCCTTCAGTGGTGTGGATTTCTTACACTGTAATCTAACAGCATAATCAGAAGCTTTGATAATCAGAATAGAACATAGAAGAATTCTGATTAGCTAAAAACCACTCTGAAGTATTTCCTATGTTGTTTCTCTCCCTCTTGGAAAGGATGAGATGGTAGAGAAAATGAATGGAATAAAGAAAGTAACCATTCACAGAACCATTCACCTGACCTATGAAATCTAGAAAGAAGTTGAAGGTCATATGGTCAGTTCGACTCCCCATTTTATAGGTAAGGACACTGAAGCTAAAAGGCTAAATAACTTACTCACGTTTACACTACCAGTTAATGGAAGAGCCAAGTCTAGATTACAGTTTTCCAACTGACATTCCAGTGTTCTTTCTTTTCATTCCTTATGCTTCTGCCCAAATCCCCCATCTCATTCTATTAATACAATCTCACACCTGAGTTTAACCAGTATCCTATACGCCCTACATATAGCACCACTCTCTTACACAAATGGAGTGCCCAGCAGGGATGACATATCTATGGTGCCCTCATCATATAAATAATCTACTTGAAGAATCTCAATATTTTGAGAAATCCAAATGATTAGCGAGTAGGGGGTTACTCATATAAGAGGATTTTTTGCCTTACAAGAACATTCATTCTCCACTGTTTTTTTTTTTAAGTTTCAGAAAATTCTTTCTTTTTTATTTGAGCACATTATGGGGGTACAAATGTTAAGACAGAGTCTCACTCTGTTGTCCAGGCTACAGTGCCGTGGCATCAGCCTAGCTCACAGCAACCTCAAACTCCTGGGCTCAAGCAATCCTCCTGCCTCAGCCTCTCAAAGTAGCCAGGACTACAGGCATGCACCACCATGCTCAGCTAATTTTTTCTCCTACACATTTTTAGTTGTCCAGGTAATTTCTTTCTATTTTTTTTTTTTTTAGCAGAGACAGGGTCTTGCTCTTGCTCAGGCTGGTCTCGAACTCCTGACCTCGAGTGATCCTCCTGCCTCGGCTTCCCAGAGTGCTAGGATTATAGGCATCAGCTACCATGCCCGGCCTCCACTGTCTCTCAAAAAGGAATCTTCAGATAGGATTAAGATGTGAGATCTTCATAAAATTATTTTATCATTTAAAACAATATGAACTTTGAACTGTTACATTTATCTATCACACAAGTAAGATTAGAACTAGACTACCAGGCTCTAAATATAATTGAAGCATTTTTATCCAAGCACTACCCATCAGTAATCCTATAATATTTTACCCAATCTTGTTTACACTCAAAGCCCTGCCATCAGGTCTTCAAAAAAATCAACACAAAAACAAATGCTGCAACTGAAGTTTCATGCTCTTGAGAAAGAAAGAGAAATAACATCTTTCTTTTATTATGTCCACTGAAGAAGAGATTGGCAGGGCGTGGTGGCTCACGCCTGTAATCCTAGCTCTCTGGGAGGCGGAGGTGGGCGGATCATTTGAGCTCAGGAGTTTGAAACCAACCTGAGCAAGAGTGAGACCCTGTCTCTACTGTAAATAGAAATAAATTAATTGGCCAACTAATATATATAGAAACAATTAGCCAGGCATGGTAGCACATGCCTATCGTCCCAGCTACTCAGAAGGCTGAGGCAGAAGGATCACTTGAGCCCAGGAGTTCAAAACAAACCTGAGCAAGAGTGAGACCCCGTCTCTACTACAAATAGAAAGAAATTAATTGGCCAACTAAAAATATATAGAAAAAATTAGCCGGGCATGGTGGCGCATGCCTGTAGTCTCAGCTACTTGGGAGGCTGAGGCAGCAGGATTGCTTGAGCCCAGTAGTTTGAGGTTGCTGTGAGCTAGGCTGACGCCACCATGGCACTCACTCTAGCCTGGGCAACAAAGCAAGACTCTGTCTCAAAAAAAAAAAAGAAGAAGAGGTCAACTCCTCTTATAAGCTCTGCCCTAAGATTTGATGTAGGTAACGATTTTTTAAAATCTCACACTCATACAACATCTTATAATTCACAGGCGACTTTAAGACAGATATCATTTGTTGATGACAAGAATAAGTGGAGAGGTGATGAGTGAGGACCAGGTAGGGTGCGTGGTATAGCTAGGACCAGGGGCAGGAGAGGAAAGGAGGAGAGGCTAGGAAGAGGAGAAGCAGTCCTGATAATATTGTTACAGAAACAATATTGTACTGAATGAAATTCACTCTACCCACCAAGGACCCAGAATTCACTGTGACACCCCGGTAATCTCTTTAAGAACTGATAATGTCCAGTTTGGTGAAGGAAGAAACGTACTTCACGTCTGATTCTCACACTGCCTACTCTTTGGAAAGGGGAAGGAATTGTCCATTGGACTGTTGTTCCCCCAATCCATCACCACAACCTATTTTTTCTTAACCATAGATATCTGTCACTTTTTTTGGAACAAGTATCTTAAAGGAATGAGACTTCCTAGGACTACCGTTCAGTCCTTCACTCCAAATGACTAAGCTACACTTTGACAAAACTGAAGTTTCCCAAACGATCACCCAATCCAGGTCCTCTGAAAGAATCACAAATGTTTCTGTTACATACCTCAACCTGCTGGCAGATCTGTATTAGTTTGGCCATTTGATTTTCTAGTTCACTGTTGCGCTTAACCAGGTTGGTGAGGTTCATCTCCAGGGTTTGCTGTCATCGTAGAGTGTGAAGCCAGAGGGAAAGAGGGAAGAAGAGAAAAAAGAACAATGAGCTCGAGAACCAGTGTCATGTGAACATGAGTCAGTCAGTAGACAAATATTTCCAAGATTCATTGTGCACCTGGCTTTGGGCCAAGCACTATTCTAGGTGCTGATTAATAATACTGTACATTTGCTCATCATAAGGAAAAAGATGACATTCATGACTTTGTGGATGTAGGAATTTATTGGCATTAAAGCAATCTTCTGCTTACTATAACATTTTTAACTTTCCTAAGTATTTCACAGGCAATATCTCATTTTTCCCTTATAGTAATCCAGCTATTTTTATCTCTTTTACAGATGAGTAGACTAAGAAAACTATACAGATGCCCCTTGACTTACAATGCAGTTACAAATTCATAAACCTGAAAGTGCATCTTCAACTTAAGATATTTAACTTACAATGGGTATAACCCCATCATAATTCAAGAATGTAACCCCATCATAAGTCAAGAAGCGTACTGAATGCCTACCACATTTGCACCACAATAAAGTCGAAAAACTGTTAAATTGAACCATTGTAAGTCAGGGACTGTCTGTCACTATTGAAAGATCGCCAGATACTACACCAGGCAATTTCATAAATACCATTTAAAAATCATAACAACCTCACAAAGTAAGAGATGCCAATATTTTACTGATGAGAGAACCGAACTTCAGAGTGGGGTTAATGTGTTTTGCACAGTCATATAATTAGTATGTGGCAAAGTTAGGACTGGAACCCAGGTCTCTAGCCCTCAATCATAGTTTTGCTCCAGTGTCTAGAACTTTTTGTTTTGTCTTTTTGTTTATAACATTTTATATTTATGGCTCCTTCAGGGGAAAAAAAAGAGGTAGTATTTTGAGTGTGGAATTCATCAAAATCTAGCATTGTCTCTCACAGCTTTCTCTGTTCGGTACCGAGGCATCGCCCACAGAGATGCCAGGCTTCAAAACACAAAGCCTGACAGCATTGCTTACCACTGCTTACTGGTACATAGATTCTTTTAGGTACCTATTAGGAGCACTTTGCAGATCTGCTGAATATGATGTGATTACAACACTACTTGGAACTCTAGCATATTTTGAATTGAGCAAGCTACTCTCTCCCATTCCTTATGTGAACAATAGAATGTTATTTCATTCTAGATTGATTATAGGCTTTTTTATATTCCTCCCCATTCCCAAATCTTCAGTTCTGGTAGCTGTTTCTCCTCCAGGACCTGCCCCAATTTTTACTCCTCTCTCACCCACCATCCTAATATCCCATAAAGTCTATTCCAAATGTAATACCCCCACGTCTTGGCCCATATTCTGCTAGCATTCCTTCCCCTAGTTGTGTTCATTGTTTAATTGCTGTCTCCATGGTTCCTATGGTTTGTAGTTCAAAGTTCATGCTTTTGAAAAAGTGGATGTGGGGGACAAGAGGGAGAGAGTGGACATGGAGGAAGAGAGGGGACTTGTGCATTTGGCTCCTGTCCTGGCTACTAAGTAGCTGTGGCTCCTTAATATCCTTGGCACTATTCCCATGAATATATCCCAGAGGATATACTCACATAGATAGACAGATGTGTTTCTAGGCTTGGTAGCCTGATTTGACTTGTTCTTAAACTAGATTATGAGGACAAGCTTAATCCTTGCCTCCCTTCTTGCCAGATCTCTCTTGATTTCTTTGGTTTGCTTCTATGGAAGACATTTTTCACCATTTATTCCATTTGGGGGGGGGCTTGGGAGCACAATTTCTCCCCTGACCTTTAATCCCACTACTATCTCAATTTTTGGCCTTCTTAGCAAGGATAAGGGGAAGAAAGAAGAAAAAAGGGCGGCAACCAATGACTTGGGCATGATCTCTAAACTAGATTGATGTAAGGGGAAATGAGAAAAAAAGATATGGCATGCTGTTCAGAGATTTAATACAAAAATGTATTGAGCACTTATTGTCTTCAAGGTGCAGTGACTTCACAAATAAAGAGGAGGAAAAATTAAGATGAGTCTTGAAGGATAAATAGAAATTAATAGTCAGAGATGGAGTGGGGCAGGGTGTTCCAGGCACAAGGAACAGAATGAGCATAATTAAAAAGGAATGAAGTATATGGCATGTTCAAGGAACAGTAGTTTAGTTTGGCTGGAACAGAGGGTACAAACAGAGTAGCAGGGGACAAGGCTGGAAATGAAGATTGAGGCCCTGTTATGAAGCTCTTCAATGCCTACGTGAGGGGTTTGTACTTTTTGTTTTTTTAGCACTGGGGGCTTACCAAAGGCTGTTGAGCAAGGTAATGGCATAATCAGGGCTGCATTTATGAGATTAACCTCCCAGCAATATGCGAGACAGACAGAAACAGGAAACCCCAGAGGGCAGGAACACTGGTTAGGAGAAGGCTGCAATATTTGAGGCAGTTGGTAATGCAAGTCTGGGCCAAACTAAGAGGATAATTGAAAGAAACGTGTTTCAAGAAAAAATTGTCACTGTCAAATATGCAGAGAGTGCAAGAAATATGAGGATTGATAAAAGGCAGCTGGATGTGGTAATTAGAGGTCACAGATGACCTTTGAAAAATGAGTTTCAGTAGGATTTTGGAAGCAAATGCCAAATCATACAGGGTTACAGAGCACATTGGTAGTGACAAAGTAGAGGCTACAAGTCTAGACTCCTCTTCAAAAGTTTGGCCACAAGGTGAGTATGATAGAGTTGTAGTTTGATAAAAGAGTCTAGCTTAAGTTAGAGAATGGAAATTGGTAATTGACCCAATCAGCTGATGATTTCCTCTAATAGAGTGATCCAAATTCCTAGATCAATGGAAATTTCATGTATTACAAATGACTATATTGATATATTAGGTAAATATAATGTAGATTGATGAACCCAGAGCAGGTAATAATATTAGAAATCTGTATTTCCAACTATAATGCATTTCTATTCAAACATAGGATTCCACGGGGGGGGGGGGAGTTTTTAACAAGTACATGGGACCTGTTGCAACACTGGTCATGAACCAATATCTCAAATAATTCACTATGCAGAGCAGGACTAAAATCCCTGCTGTGTGTTCCTCATTTTATGGCCCAGAACTGAGACTCATGTCTTCTATAAAGCCACTGAAAACAAAGATTAGGGCTGAACATATCATTTTGGGTCTGGTTGGGTTACCATCACAAAATCATGGCAAATGGTTAGTTTGCTCTGGCCGCTTAGCAATTTGCAGAACGGTAGAACATTTTAACAATGCAGAACTCGAACCGACAAGATGACTCTAATTTCAACTTTACTTCATTAATATGAAAATGCTTTGAAAAATAAATCTTTGGCTAATGAAAACACCATCTGTTGATGGCTTTTTGCCACTGTTTTCTTACATTGAGAGACATAATTTGAGGAAAACACCGAACATTTACTTACTCACTTCCTATTCATTTACAAGGAATTAAAGCCTCCTCTCAAATTGGAATTGATTCTCAATAATGAACATATGCAAAGGGAAGCAGAGAATTGAAGCAATTAGGCAGTCTAAGGAAGTCAACCTTCCTTATCATGCTTAGTACTGACGAACCATTTCGAACTAAAAATTCTGGGCCACTCTAGGTTTGAATGATTTGAATTGATTTGGCCGAGTCATTATCTTGTCTATACTCTGGCTGAGTAAAGAAAGAGGATACATGTGTGCGGTTGTGTATACATAAAATCTCTTTATATAAAAGTAAACATGTCTCTTTGTTGTTGTTCAGTTTTGAAAAATTGGTTTGTTTTGCTTTTCTCTTGTGCAATCTAGTTAATGCCTCGGCCAGGTTCCGTCTGTCTAAGCCCAGCCAGTGCAACTTTCTCAGAACAGTTGAACTGTGACAGCAAGACAGCCAAAGTGGCAGGGGAGATTGGAATGGAGATATCTGCTCTGAGGCAGGAGGTTGGCAGGGGGAGCAGGATGAAGCTCCCATTTCCTGCTGCAGGAGGTTACCTCTGGGTCCTTCTGTGCTTCCCTCACGTTAGAGAAGCCATTTTAGTTTACGAAACTGTGAGACCCTCCTCGCCTCCAGATGACTACATCATGCTAGCTCTCACAAAACTGTACATGTGTCTAAACGGCACAAAGTGAGAGGAAGATTTGGCTGGCGTGCATGACAGATTTTAAAAGGCCTGAGTTAGCTAAATTGGCAGTCTACACCAATTCCATTTTTACCCAAGTTCCACTTCATTTGTATTGTATAGACTTGGCCTCTTTGTGTTCTGTTTTTCCCTTCCCAAAGAGGAAAATGTTTTGCTATCCAAGAAAACTGGACACAGGCTATTCTCCTTCCAAACAGCATCCCATTAAAAGAAATGGCTTCTCTAACTCTCTCAAATAATCGCTGGGCTTTTTTCTACTTCTCTAGACACAGACTGTTTCAGATAGCTTTTTCATTGGCTCCCTCAAGAAACCTAGCCATACAACAAAACACCAGCCCTTCATTAAAGTGAGACAGATTACCTCTATGGGGTAAACTGGACCATGATCTCCATTTGTCATGCTCCAAGAAGACACATGTATTCACACATATATGAGCACACCAACATATACCAATCAGACACAGTAAATACTAAGGCCTAAAAAGGGGTACAATTTTTGTTAGTTCTATTGAAACATGTAGAATTGCCATTGAATGTCTGTATTCTCTTTTGCTTTCTAAAAGGTACAAGGGGAACATTATCTAAACCTAGACAAGATCTTGACTGTTTCAATGTGGGAACTGAACCTTAGGGTGGTGGGCGGAGGAATGGAGGATAAGAAGAAGGGCAGAAAAGCCAATCCACCCCAAACCTGAGTATTTCTTAATTGACAGAAGACAGCTTTGTCTTTAAAAATAATCTGAGCCAGTGACCCCATTACTATTCTTTGGCATGCTCTTTTTTGACACCCTGTCTACACACCCAAGTTCCCAGCTCTTTCAAAAGCCAGAAGGCAGAATCTTCACATGCTTTGGGGGTCGCAGTCTGCTTTC